AAAACGAATATTTGATCAAACAGGCAAGTGGAGTAAAAAAAATATTTACATAAAACAATCTTAGATGCTGGGTTTCAAATCACACCGTCAATGTCGGGACACCTGAGTTAAAGCACCGACGTTTTGTTAGCTAGTTTGATGAAAGAATTCAAGGACTCTGGTCGGACTAGAACCCATAGCGGTGAGAAGCATGTGTATAAAAATCAAGGACTTTAAACACTCGGCCATGGACGCACTGAATATCTTATTTACTCTATCACAAACAAAAAGTAAGAGTTTACGACGCAACACATTTGCACATGGTAAGAAAATAAACGTATAGTAATACATTTTGTACATAACATTTTAACAAAACTTCTTGGGTTTATTTATAAAATCTGCCAGTGTATAAAAGAATAAATTTAATAAAAAACTTTGTATACCAGTTCTATGATGGCATTAAATATCAATGTGAAATGGCGAATGTCTTCTCCTTTGCGTTTTTGGTCCTAATTGCAAATACTGAAAAATAAATGATGGTATTGTAATATTTCCTTCTGCACAGTTATTTCTTTATAAATCTAGTTCTAAAGATAACGGATGTGGGTCCAGTCTAACGTGAAAAAGGGCCAAGTGTAACGTACATTGTTGAGTATCAATGTCAATGTCTAATTTAGTTATTTTAAGTTAAGTAATCTTTTATGAAATTATATGAATATGAATACATGTATTATGAAATAATATGAATTATTATTAAAATACTCTCTCGATATTTGTTTCTCTGTCACCGTAGACGGAACACACTTGCAAATTTAAAACCAAAAGAATTATAAAATAGTTTCGTCACATTTAAGTAAGCTATTGGAAACTGTGCGTGAAACTTACTATTTTGTTTTCGTGTAACTTACTATCCAGAAATTGTTCGTTTTACTTACTAAACACTTGCAAAGAGCATTTGTAGGCTACAGACCTTCGAACAAAATTTTATATGGAATTCTACAAGAACAGATGTCAATAAAATGATTGATTTGGTGTCTTAAGTGCAAAAAGAAGGCTTATTTTCATTTATTTTGGTACCAAGTTATATCGCTTCGTGCAAATTACTATCGCTGAATGTGCAATTTTCACACAATTCAAACAATGTTTTCAAAAACCACAAAACGTAGGATAATGCACTTTGTATTGTCATTTGAAGAAAATTTACGCGCATATGATACGCCAGGTTTTGTTTTGATTTAAGAAACGTTTGTCACCTTAATTTAACATAATAAGGTACTTACCGGGGCTCAGCAGTCGCCATTTTCTCGTGGGTATTACTATACAAAGTCACGTGATTCCCCCCCCGTGGTCTTAGCAAGTGAAAAAAGTATGTTAGCATGTTTGTTAGATAGTACATCTAATAAATGGGCCATATAGAAATCTTAGTGATAAATGATTAAGTCAATATATAAATTTGCTCAATCATTTTATATTAAAAATATTATCCAAACCTTTTGTTTTCAGTCACATTTAAAGACCTCGTAAAAGCAAGGCTAATCATGCTATGAAATCAGTTTGTAAATGACAAGGTCTACTTAATAGACTGCATGTTTCGTTTATGCCATGCAATTGATGAAATTATATCTATAGTTCACGTTTGTTGTGCGCCAAACTAGAAATGTTTATTTTCTACCGCCCTAAGTCATACGTCAGTGGAATATTAAAATATTGTTTGATAATGTTCTTTTTGAAACATAGTCTATAATGTCTAAATAAAATAATCAATAAATCGTTAAACTGATAGCATTTTCCTTTCAAAATTCTGAAGTTACATATTTCACTTATCAAAAATCTACCACACCTCTTGAAGTATGGAATTTTAATTGAATTAAATTCACGTATAATACCCTTGAATATTTTCAATTCAAGTATTTTAATGAATGAGTTGCCGAAAAATACGAGTAATTTCAAAAGAATGCGAGTTGAATTTCAAAATATGTATATAGATTTTCATACTGTTTACACCTGTCGATGATGTGTCCAAAGTTGTACATGCCAATGATGTGTCCAAAAATGTAGAGATTAAGTTTGGCGGCATAAAAAAGTAAATAGTTTTATATTATAATAAATACACGTGATAAACTTACAAACCTTCATTTACCAAGGAATCTTGCTTAAATTATTATACTTATTTCTGTTCAAAATAATTGTCGAGCTAACGAAATATATTTTATATGAAACTGTAAATGAATGAAAGTGTCTATCTGGAAAAAAAAAAAAAAAGAATGAATGAATATCAACAAGGTAAAGTCTGAAGTTCTGTATAGTAAGTAATGAATAAGAAATGCCCGAATCTAAAATTTGCAAACAATAAGTTTCACACATATAAGAAAAAAAATAATGCAGTTAAGAGTTATCATTTAATCACAAATTGCAAAGCATTGCACTTCAAGCCATGTATTTTAAAGTCATTCAAATTGTGTGAAAGCCTATAAAACGAAAATAAAATGTCCGCGGGAATGAAAGCATTCTTGTTCTTGATTTTAGTAGATTAGAGTAAAAACATTTCGAGACAGTGATAATATTTTGTAGTAAAAGTCCCGCTGGAATATTGAGCGCTGAAACAATATCATATTTGAATGAATGAATTATTCAGCGTGAGAAATATCTTAACTTGGAAGCTTAAATACTCCTCAGTAAAAAAATCTGGAAACAAAGTGAACCCTTGGAAACATTAATCACAACAAAATTACAAGAAAATTGCAGACTCGGTTTGATTGAGTCTGTACATGAGCAAGATTTACGTTACATGTATATTTGTCCGAAACGTTAGTCTTTATTGAAAATATATTGATGCAATAGGAATAACATTTATGAAAGATATTAGATTAATGAAATAATCAAAGTTTGATGGTAATATTCGGTGACCTATTATTTAGTTATATGCGTTTTGTAAAAAAGTAACAGAGGAATTAGTTAATAAGAAATTACTTTTGTTAAGCTGAATGAATGAAGCAAAACGTAATGGAACAGACTCTTTTGATTTGTAAAAAGTAGATGTAATAGATATAACATTTTTTTTCAAGAATATAAATATGTCAACGCATTTAATGATTAAAGTGATAACATCTTAAATACTCATTACATATGATCATCGTGATTTAATCATTTCACATGACCAAATTAAGGGAGAAAAAAAGATCTGAAATGTTTCATAGTTACACTTTTTATATATCAAAACACGATTGATTTTATTATATATAATGACAATAAATGATATAAGTTGGTACAAGCGCTATATTGAAATTATGAGTTTTCTTTATGATTTTTCTATTTACATAAAGAAAGTGAGAGTGGGAACAAAATTGCAATCATAAAGGTACTGCAGATGTTTGCCGTTGCAATGCCCTTGTCCGTATATAACAATGAATTTGTTAATAAGTGTTTTTGTACAATTTTTAAAAGTCTGATATAAAGTGGTTCTTTGAAAGCGCTGAAAACAAAATGAAAACAATGAAATGTGCGGCAACTCTTCTGCCTATCCTAGAACATGCTAACGCCGTGTTCAGTCTTCGACTTCTTGAAAAAAAAATGTATCATCAGAGTTTAATGAATGAAACAAGTCTTCTGAAATTATAAATCTGGCAGACGTAATTTTTTCCTTCACAAAAAATTGTCTGCGCTCAAAATTATGTGTAAGCACTTCTTTTATGATTCAGAATACATTTCATTATCAACCGGATAAGATCTTTGCATCGTGGTTGAACCTCGCATAAATTTAGAAGCAAATTTATTTAATATTTGTTTATAGCCACATACTCGATTTTATCTTATTTTGTAAAGCTAATCTAGTCATGAAAGGTTACTGAGCTCCTTTAGTTGAGGATAATTAAAATGATTTCAAGGTCACTGTTAATGATTCAATAAATGTACCAAAATAGATTGTCGTTTGCTTGGAGCAATTGAACGCATTTCTTCTTTCTCAGGGAAACATGTGAAGAATGTGCTTTTATTTAGAAGTTATGAGATTGAAATTATTCTTAGTGAATTTGATGGCATAAGAATGCTGATTAACGTAATAAATTTGCTTGAAACTAGATCTGTATACTAGATTTTGCTGTTTTGATATCCAAATTTTATGATACTTTATAATTATGTAGAATTTATAAAATCATCACTATCATTTATAAAATCCTTTTACCTGTTCTTAATCAATTGGTCACGACATTAAATCATGCTTTTATATAAATCTCTTCCTAATGAACCAGGATAGACGTTGACAATAAATCTCAATCCAAAAAAGATGATTACTCACAAAACCGTTGGAAAATCGGCACAAAAATGACACATTGAATCTTATATGGTCATCGCATATGAATACATTTTAGGATATAACTATAGTCAACTTTTTCATATTTGAATGTTTAATACTGTTAAAACCAACGCAAGAAGTCTTGCAGTTACCAATGCCGTCCATTAACAGAAGCAGTTAAATAGACCCTGTGGCAGTAATAGTTTGACCTTCTGGATCGATCCTTAAAGTTTCCTTTCTACACTGATTAAATATTTCACACTGCTATTGTTTATAATAAAGCCATCGAAAAGTCATTGTTTTATATCTAGAAATTACTTAAAACTGATCAATGAATAAGTTGCATAAAATTAATTACAAAGCAACATAAAACAGATTAGATTACTTTATTGACCTCCTTACAATATTGCATCAGTAAATATATACTATAAACGAATTAAAAGCAAGTGTTAAATCGTATCAAATTGAAAATATCGGAGGTTCCTTTATAGTAAACAACTTTGACCAAAAACAAAATAATTAAAAAACGATTTATTAAACGTTTTCTATGGATTGCATAAAAAAGAATAATTCATCTTTTGTAATAAGTAAGAAGGAGAATTATGATAACATTACGTGCAGAAACAAGCGAATTACCACTGGCAAACATGGGCTGCTTTTACGAATTTGAAACAGTGCGTGCAAGTTGATAATTTAATCAAACATATCTCGTTTTATCTTTTGTTTTTATTCCTCAGGACACCATCTGGCGATCAATACCTTGTTAAACTATTTAGTCATTCTCTTAAACATCCTTGTTTATTGCATACAAGAATGCCGCTTGGTTTAAAAACACTTCATAAAGGATATTTTACCTAAGCTGCAGCATTTTCACGCGAAGCGATTAAATTGATGAAGATATATTTTTTGCTGTTATGTTATATCATTCTTTTTTATTTTGGTTAACAAGACAAAAATTAGATATTTCACATGCAAGCAAACAGGTGGTTCGAATTCAAAGATAGTTTTGTGGTGTTAGATGTATTCCAACATCTTATTATCTATATTTTAGGGTGGAAATGATATGTTTCAGAGGCAACAACATATTTGTCAAACTAGTCTGCTAGTGCAACTTGTTCAGTATCACGTAATGTGCTTTAGCCTGGAATAAAGGTGTTCATGCCATATATATACAGGGGCTTTGGATTTTCTTTGACAATATCATGATTCATTTAACACAGCTGGGATGTTTTATATTGCTTTTTGTAACCAAACTTGGCTATGCATCACCTTTTACTTATTTTTGGATTACGTTTCTTAATTCTCAGTAAAGTGCTTTGGGCTCGACCAGTAATGTTGAACCTGAATAGCGGATCGGGATTTAATCTTGAACTTGAAAGTGCCGAAGATTTTAGTGAGACTACAGACATAGATAGTTGGATGAATGACAATGTAAGAATATCAAAATTTATTGGAAATAGACTTTACGAAGAAAATATTTCAGGTTTCCGTCCTACGTTGGCAGGTACGGGAAATCGAGCAATGATAAATATGTCTTTAACACCGGAATATATGTTGGAATTATATGATAAATTATCCAAAGGATCACCGGCCGCACATTCGTCCAACATTGTACGAAGCTTTAAAAACATACCTCAACATGGTAAGAAGTTTTTGCGATTATATAATTTGATATCCAGATATTTTTATTCACTGCTATCAGTTTCTTGTTTAAGTTTTAAAATATTTTAAGATTAAATATTATCAGGAATTTTTACTTTTCGAATTTTACTTTTATTGCTCTTAAAGCACCTACTTATAACGCAAAACTAAAATATGATGAAATTTGACAAACATATCTGGAAAAAGAGATCAATCGGAAGCATTGAAATCAGCAAAATTGCGTAAAAATGGATGAATAGGTTTGATTTGGTCTGTACATGAGGGATAATAAAAAACATCCCAAAGACAGTCGAAGCAAAATGTTTGCTCAATATCTTACGAATTAAAGAAATAGTAAAACGATACAAAAGTTAAGTAAATACAGGTAATATTTAGCTATGAGACACTCATATATTTCAAGTAACTTTATCTTAGGATGACGTTGTGTGATTTTATCGCAAAATTTATTACAACACAATATCGAACGCTTCAGATTCGGCAGTTACTTATCTTTTTTAAGATTATTTCTAGGTGATGCATATTCAGAAACAATCACGATTGCTGTTGCAGATTTCTAAACTGCATAGTAATAAAGATTATTAATGAAGTATTCTTGGATACCTTTACATGATTCAATATAATTTGAAAGTGGTGTGAAGTTGATTGCGTGATATTAGGTCGCATAGCATGAATAATATACATGCAATGCACTTTCCTTCGACCTAATATTTAATGCCTTGCTTTCCTAAAAGGGTTTTATCTTTATATTTATAATTTCAGAAGTTAATGGACAATTTTAAAGAGCATATCTGAAACACAATTAACCACATGATTATATGTTAATCGCTTAAACTTTTTAAGGGATTTCTTAACTCTAACATAGGTTACATATTGATCTGTTTCTATAGTGAAATTAGCCGCGTCACGACAAAACCAACATAATGGGTTTGCGACCAGCATGGATCCAGACCAGCCTGCGCATCCGCACAGTCTGATCAGGATCCATGCTGTTCGCTTACAAACTCTATAACAAATAGAGAAACCGATAGCGAACAGCATGGATCCTGATCAGACTGCGCGGATGCGCAGGCTGGTCTGGATTCATGCTGGTCGCAAACCCATTATGTTGGTTTTGTCGTGACGCGGCTCAAATATCATATTTCATTCAATGGTATGTCTGAAGGTATGGGATATCTTTAGAATAAAGATAATATAATGCAATATAAAATTAATCACGGGTAAAATAGCCATTTATTATGCACCATGGAATCTATATAAGAATTCTAAATCAAATAACTCAGATATGATGACGCCATTAGAATACTGTTTTCGAACGGAAACTGCGAAGAAGTTCATGATTAATATTCAAAAATACCAAATTTAAATGATTTACATTGGTATAAATAAGATAATTTTATACGTTTGCACAACGTCAAAATGTTATTGCAAAGAATACTTTGGATTTTTTACGTGTACAGCATAATTCCCATAGGGTTTTGCCAACAAATCAAAAACTAATTTTTGCTTATTAATGACTTCAGGGAACAATATAATAAAACTTTTAAAAAAATTGAATTATAAATGACAAGTTTTAAAGGGTTTAAATGTAGAGCATTCGTTTCTAGAATGATGTAATGAACAAACTACCCAACCAGTATTGGCCTGCTGAACTTGTGTAATGGTATTGCCATGCCCTTTGAATTATGAACTCTAGATTAAAAGTTTGATTGATTGTAATATCAAATACTAAATTTGAGCTACCAAGAGTAAAAGATTGCACGGATATGCAGAATGGCCTAGTTTTATGTTTTTGGCAAAGGCTGATCAATGCTAAGAGTTAATTTATAATAAATACATAAAAGAGTGTCGCAAGAAAGTACAAAACAAACAAAAAACTAATCAGTAATTGTCTAAAAAATATACCTCTATTTACTTATAACTGCTAAAAATGTGACTTATAAATGCTATAAATGTAAATATTATGCTCATATTTTGGCGTAAGCTGGTTACTACTATTTGCCTTATTATTGATTTACCTAGAGAAATTAGAAAAATATCAATTTCTTTTTAATAAAACTAAATTATCAGGTATTATTAGGTATCACTTGATATCTAACCATTTTTGAAGAAGTGTTGCATTGATTAAGTTGCACGATAATAGATATTAAGATATAAAGCAGCTATAACAGGAAAGAGTATACAACATAAATTTAACCTCAGTCCGATAAAAATAGAACATGCAACGCTCTTGACGCATCTCCTTCTGGCGTTGTACTTTGATAATATAGCCGATACTCAAACTGCTTTATTAGTAAAGAAAGTTTCGAAACTGAATAACTTATCTTTGAAATTACATAGTGTTTAAAATTACAACGTGGGAATTTGAACAGACTCTTTGATATTTTGATATATTTAACAATCTCCGTATCATATTTAGACTTATCTTCTCGTAAACTTCAATTTGCTCTTTGCATCAATTGACAATTAAGATAATCTCTCCTTTAAATCTGATATATTTAAATTTTATTACTTTAATCTCTGAGATATAGTTACAAGCATCATGATTTAACTCATTTCGTTCAATTTATTGAAACGCAAAACCTTTTTCTCTGAGCAAAACAATTATTTTAATGGGAGAGCGTAGGTGTAATAGACTTTTACTTAATTATTCCAAAGTATTTGATTCTGATTAAACTGTAAAGACTATAACTGTGGCGCATTGGGAAAATTATATCGCTTCAATATAACTGATATTGTATTGATATTGAATGAAAAAAACTTTAGATTAAAACACCATCAACCTCCCAGTATAATTATTATATCAAGCGTTTATATTCGTGGTTATGGACTGTTTGAATGTTCATTACTAATAATGAAATAAAATATTCTAAATCAACAGAAAAAACACAATACTTTTTATACGTATGTTAAGTAACACCGTGGTTACAAAAATCAGAAGCAATAATGAGTATTTTGTTATGGCTAATAACAAATGCTTCACTTAATATAACAGTCATGAAATAATTAAAAACCTCTTCAATGATTAATTACTAATATTCTTCCCCTTAAAAGTTCATTAATTGTTCTATTTATTATAAAGAAATTGTTATATTAAATTCAAAGTAGAAAACACGTAATTGCCAATAATATGGCATTTGTGAGCAAATACACATCATATTATCTGACAAAATCATATCATAACTTTACTTTCTTTATTTGCACGATAAGGACATAAACATGAGAAATGAGATGATAATTGTGATACAATATCTGATGTAAATAAAATATTTTAACTCATAATTCATCTAATTATATTCATCTCACTCACACTTAGCAATCATTTAACTATCTTGGAGAACATAAATATTTTATTAATCAAAATCAAAGATATGGCATATTTGTCGTTTCCAACAACATTCATTATCAGTATGCAGCAAAACATTCATGAGTTTTCTTTTCAATATATTTTCAGAACAAAAATCTTCGGGAACTCCAGTGAATTTCCGTAACTATAGAGTACATTCCCTGGTGTTTGATATATCGGCACTTGACCGCTCAGAAAGTATCAACTCAGCTGAATTAAGACTGTATACTTTGATAACACGTGACCAACAATCTTATATGGGGGTCAATAGAGTCGTTTCAATTTATGAAATCGTAGATATAGGACAACCGGTTGACGCTGACCAAATAAAATACAGATTCATTACCTCAAAATATATTTATGGTGTTGAAAATTCATGGGAAAGTTTCGATGTAACAGAAGTTTTGAAAAGTTCTTTGCAGCTGGGACTTAAAATAGAACGTTTAGAAGTACGTATTCAAACAGTGTTTATGGATTCAGGAAGAGACAATATGGATATCAATGCGAATCCTAATGACATAAAACAACCTCTTCTTGTTGTTTATTCAAACGATAAGTCCATTGAACATGAACATGACGTTGAAACACACGAACTTCTCTTGCATGGCCTTGACTCAAATGTTAACAATAAAGGCACAACTCATGCTGGGAGAGAAATTGAAAGTAGGTACGTTTACAATGGACAACAAGTCTCACACTCAAGATCAAAGAGAAGCAGAGGTTCAAAATCGTCTTTTTGCAAACGACGTCCACTGTTTGTTAATTTTGAGGACATAGGGTGGCACACTTGGATAATCGCACCAAGAGGTTTTCAAGTAAGAATATCTTTTTTTCTCTGATTCTTTTCTTGCTTATGCAAGTGAAAATGTTTATAAGACAATAACATGTATCTAAAATACTTTTGTTTTGTTCCTTAATAATTGTCATGGCTGTCTTTTGTACAAAATAAAACTTCAACTAAAAATCATACAAGAGCGATCAGTGATCACATTTGTCGCCTAATAATAGCCAATTAAGTAATTATAGTGAAGGATGTTTAGACAGTTTTTTCCATATATGCCAGATCTTCTATTACGAATGTTGAAGCTTTTATGTAGCAGGCGACTCAAAATCGTTAACAGGCCAATTTTCTTTTCTCATTCAAAGACATAGCTCAGCCAAAATTCATTCAAACTAAAAACTCAAAACGTTAAATACATGCACAAGTACTTGAGATACTGATCAAGTCTATAATATTTCATTCAAAGTACATTTGTAGTATAATAGAACTAGTCCGGATAAAAAAACTTGTTAAAGGGACATAACTCTGACAAAACTCATTAAACTGGAAAATGCTGACGATATGCACAACTGCACTTAGTACTTATCATTCCCGTTAAGTTTGGATTGCACCACTAGTTTTTTTCAGGAACAGTCGGGACAAATCTTATGACGGACGGACACGTCGTAAAAGTGAAGTGATCCTTATATGTCGTCGCTACTCTGTAGCCGGCGACACAACATTCTATGTATTTAGTATGAAATAATAATACAATATATAAAAAAATAAATAATACACGAAGAACGTCTAAAACGGCAAATTTGTAAATGTTGCATTCTCGATTTTAAAGAGTAAAATACAGTCCCCTAACAACGTCTTAAGCAGAATTCATCATTTAACATAAATGGTAAAATTCTGAATTTAGAAACATCTGTAAAGCCACAGAAAGGTCCAAAGCTAAAGCTTACGGCAAGATGAGACTATTGTTTGACATGGTATTTTTCAACTTTTTCATTTTAATATAATGCATAATGATAAAAGCAAAATAGATAGGTAAGGCATTTAAACAATGTTAACGATATTATTTCAAGTGTTATAATAAAAAACTAAGATGCAATTTTGAAAATATTATAATCTGTTTTAATAGGATGATATCTTTTTGTGTACATATTACTAATGTCTCGAGAAACAGCTTAGTTGAAGAATAGAATGAATGTGCAAATAAACTTATCTCTGAAATTTATCTTCTGGCTTTCTCTTCTAAATAGATAAATGAGATAAAAGAACCATAAAATAAATGTGGTCAAAGACAAACTGCCCATAAAATTGCACGTTATGAATTTTTGACTGGCAATAAAATTAGAAATGAGTTATTTAATATGAGGTGTGTGGTTCGCCTTATTATTTCTTCTACAGGTGTCCATGAGATTTGTGATAATTTATGAGGCGAAACTTGCCTAAACTTGCCTAAAATCTTAAAATATTTTAAATCAAGTGCTTTGCACTTTGTAATGGTAGTATTTCCTTACCAAAAATGACTAATATTAGAGATCGAAATGTGTTCTTATCAGAAGTGCACTTCAGTAATTATCAGAAGTGCACATCGGTAATTATCAGAAGTGCACTAATTTTAATTTAGTCGTGATTTTATGCCAAATAACACATCTTACATATGTTTATTATATAGATATATATCCTGGTAACGTCATGTCGTTGTAAGTTAACTCTGAGGTGACTTGGTCACAAAAATGGTGTTTTCTAAATGTACATAATTATTTATTGCTAATTGAGCTATATACACAACGTTGATTATATACCTTAAGAACATAAAATGTAATCTAGATTCTTTTTAACTATGTCGTTATGATATCAATTTTTTCACACTTCTAACGATGTTTCTATTACGTGCTAGAAAACAAACAATTTCTTGCTGGGATATAAATTTAAAAGGTAATTTTGCATTTTTACGAAATAAAAACACCAATGATAATCATAAAAGCATTGTCTATTGTTAAACCAAAATGTTTGAATACATAGTTTTATAAACTTATCTGAGAAGACATTAATAACTGTGGCATTTTGACCTACCTATCTATAAAAGAACGTTTGATACTTAGATAAGAATGTTGTACATGACAAAAGTTTTTCAACTATTTAAGATATCATAGACACGGTGATGTATCATGAATACTTAATCATTTTATCAAAAGTTTTTATCAAAAGTATTCCGATTTTTAGAAGATAATACAAGAAGGTGTTGAAGGAATCCAGAAGCTATGTGCACTGTATCACACTGTGCTATCTAAATTTGTTTAGTTAAAGTTAAAAAGAAAGCAGAGTTATTGTCCCAATATTGATAACAAACCAGGCATGAATTTTCGCACGAAGTAGAACATCCTAGCTGTAACTGGTCTTAACATGTTAATTAATGTCGAAATCTTTAATTCATTAGGTACATAGAAAACTTTAGTTTAACTCTGAGTAAGTGCAGTATTTTATTTTGTTGAACTGAGTTAAAAGGAAGGGTCGGATTGTTTATTTTTTACTATTTAAAAAAAGAATTATTTCATGATATATGACATTAATATTTTCGCAAGATAAAATGAAAAAATATGAACGATAAGAATGTTAAACTTCAACAAAGAATTTATGGAGAAATCGTATAAGAAATATGTAGGTAAATGAAATTACAATTCTTTGTATCATATTTTGATAAAAAATTTCATCTACTTGTACAAGACTACGAAACACAAATTGAAAAATTAGTACCACCCTTCCTTTCAACGTGTTCTGCAATTATTTCTTGAACGAAGTTCTCTTGATTATCATCAGTGTTATCATCTCTGAAAATGCTCCAGTGACCCTCAGCAGGCGTGTTTCAGAACTTAGCACCTGCTGATTTGCCAACCCCTTTAAATATTCAGGCATGAAGAGTGTTATCAAAGGTATAATCTTAACGGTAATTCATTTGAATGGATAAAAAAATGGGAAACAAATGAGGTTTACGTGCTCTCTTTCTTTTAACTCTTTTATCATAGAATATAGAGCTTGCTCTCATACAACAACGCATTTTTATACAAGAAAGATTATGCTTTCTTTTTGTAGCAATTAGTTTACATTCTTGAACTCTATTTTTTCCACAAAATGATGCAATCTGCAGTTCTAAGCGCGTGCGTAAAACTTATTTGTAAGTTATGGAATTTCTGTCCTTATCATTTGTAAAAAAATATATTTTTCCCTGTGTATCGTAACCAGCATTTAAAACTGTTTATTTTTTATTTTTTATCATTTATCCATAAAATTAAAATAACAAAAATGTCCCTATATGTATAGACACGGAAAAAATGTGCATTTTATTGAAAAAAAAGAATGACCATATATACATGTTTATATATATATTGAAACTAGAGGATGCTTTTGTAAAAAAGCGCATGTCTCCCCCACTGCTGAGAATAACTGTGAATGGAAACAGGAATGGAAATGGAGATAAAAGAACAGAGTATATAAAACCAGACAACTGATATATCACTGATATATCAATAATAGTTAAATGTCCTCACTGATAAGAACTCTAGTTATCATCCGGAAATGAGAAAATGACCAATGGTCACTGTGACCTTAACCTTTGACCTACTGACCCCATAAACAAGAGGGATCATCTGCTCAATAAGACCAATCATCCTATGAAGTTTGAGGGTTGTAGGTCTAAAGGAACTCTAGTTATCATCCGGAAAGGAGAAATTAACCAACGGTCGCTGTGACCTTGACCTTTGACCTACTGACCATTAAAACAATAGGGATCATTTGATTAATAAGACCAATCATCCTATGAAGTTTGAGGGTTGTAGGTCAAAAGGAACTCTAGTTATCATCCGGAAACGAGAAATTGACCAACGGTCACTGTGACCTTGACCTTTGACCTACTGACCCCAAAAACAATAGGGATCATCTGCTCAATAAGACCAATCATCCTATGAAGTTTGAGGGCTGTAGGTCAAAAGGAACTCTAGTTATCATCCGGAAACGAGAAATTGACCAACGGTCACTGTGACCTTGACCTTTGAACTACTGACCCCAAAAACAATAGGGATCATCTGCTCAATAAGACCAATCATCCTATGAAGTTTGAGGTCTGTAGGTCTAAAGGAACTCTAGTTATCATCCGGAAACGAGAAATTGACCAACGGTCAGTGTGACCTTGACCTTTGACCTACTGACCCCAAAAACAATAGGGATCATCAGCTCTATAAGACCAATCATCCTATGAAGTTTGAGGGCTGTAGGTCAAAAGGAACTCTAGTTATCATCCGGAAACGAGAAATTGACCAACGGTCACTGTGACCTTGACCTTTGAACTACTGACCCCAAAAACAATAGGGATCATCTGCTCAATAAGACCATTCATCCTATGAAGTTTGAGAGCTGTAGGTCAAAAGGAACTCTAGTTATCGTCCGGAAACGAAGAATGGACGGACGGACGGACTGACGGACGGACGGACTGACGGACGGACGGACTGACGGACGGACAGGGCAAAAACAATATGTCTCCCCCCGAGGTGGGGGAGACATAATTAAATTTGTAGATTATTCTTAGAAATGTGAAAAGTAAAGAAACAAAATAAATAGTATAGCCTACAACCATTCACGACCTGTTAAAATTATTATGACTCGGCAAAACAAACATACAATATATCTTGTAACTAAAACAGAATTATTTCAGTGTTAAATGCCCATTTCAAGGATACCGTTTTTCCCATGAATATACATTATCATAAAGTTATTTAACTATCATATATAAGTTAGTATAATTATTAATTTGAAATTTTGGCATATAAATGCGTGTTTTGTGTGAATGGGACGGAATATTTTATGTCAACCTCTTACTTTTTATTACCCATTGCTTTGTTTTCATTTCAGGCATACCAATGCGCGGGAAAATGTACATTTCCACTCAGTGAACACTGGTCGCCTTCCAAACACGCAGTAATACAAACACTTATGCACAGCTACCATCCAAAACGTGCGGCAAGATCGTGTTGTGTCCCGACCAAACTTGACCCAATTTCAATCCTCTACATCGATGAACAAGGTGTTGTTACCTATAAATATAGGTATGATGGTATGGTCGTTGCCTCGTGTGGATGTCAGTGATACGACTTCGGGACTATTTATTCGAGCGGATTTGTGCAATAGATTTTTTCTTTATTTTCTCCATTTCTTGACAAAATTCAGATGCAGCTGTTATAAATAAAACAAATATATAAGAGAAGGGGTGTATTTTACCGTATCACAGTGTTTGTGTGTAATTTTACACATTTACGATACAAATGTTTATAAATATCAAAAACTGTTTGTTCTATAACTATAACTTGCATTATTGTTTGTAATTACATCACGATCTTCGGATTAGACAGAACTCTAAATGATTAAATGCAATTTGCATTTTGTTCAGTTAAGAGTATACTGTAAATTATATAATGTTTTCAAAGAAAATAAAGATTTCAAGTTTTGTAAAAATAGTTATCCTGAAAAAAAGGGTTCAAAACACACCATCAAGAGAGAATTTTAAATACAATGTTCCAAGAATGAATAAGTATTTAACGTTGATCTTTTACATTTCTAATATTCATTTTGCCTGTCAGAGTTCATACCTGAGTGCACGCAGTGCCGAATAATAGCCAGACATTACCAAGTCTCATTGTTTTATAATACGAAGTTATTTATAACGATTTATAAAAACGAAAATTACATTTCATTCAAATTTTTGCGTATACACTGAACAATAAGATTACATTTTGTCAAATTGGCTAACATAAGGGATATACATATGTACGTGTTTCTCTAGATAAAACTCAATTTAAAGCTCTTAGCCATTAAAACACCGTAATCAGCTCCAACTGTTCCACTGAAGTCCAAAATCCTAAGGCCATTACACTTGAAAACTTTACAAAGATAAACTGTGGCACTGAAAAAGGACTATTTTTTTTTTGTTTAACGGACTATAATGTATTGCATTGATTGAGTTATTATTTAATACTGTTTCTTTTCTAAAAAATTAATTACATGTTTTGATACAAGATGAAAGATTGCTTTTATCTTAAAAGTAGAATGTACATAAACGAGAGTTATTTGAAATATTTGTCAACAGCTCTTCCTTGATATTACCACCTTTAACACGGTAAGCTTATGTAAATTAATTTTAATGGTTCTATTTTAGCCTCATCAATATTTTTATTTATAATAATCTATTTTAAATAACAAATTTACTTTGTCTAAACCATTGGCAAAAGCCAAAATTTCACGCACTGAATAAACATTATAATTATATGTGTTGCCTTTGTTGATGTTTGATATACTCGTTTGCTATTTAAAAGTAAAGTAGTTCTTAAGATATGTTTGATATCCTCAGTTCTTGTTTAAAACAACTGTGTATAATTACTCATTGAAAATGAAAAAAGTTTAGTCTGTGATTATGACATTTTAAGTGCAAAGTGCATGTTTATAAAATTAACGTCAATCAGAGTCAACAGGATTGTATTTTTTGTCGGCTAATGTTTAAGATGTTTTTAGCTTTTTCGTAATACAGTTGGTTATTTCATGGTTTATTTATAAATGTTGAAAGCGAATTATGTTGTCGTATAAAATATCATTATAAACAGGCCACAAAACGTTTGAAGAAATAGATAAAACTTGTTAAACCTCCAACGATTATCGTGCATGATATATATCACGTACCTCAAAATAGAAATGACTTCTAGTACATACGAAGCCAATGGAACAATGATTTATTATTTTATGAAAATCCATCTCATCAACAAAACGAGTAAATCTAATGTTTAATACATATGTCATGATTGAATTGTTATTTAATAACATTAAAATTTAATTTCTTTGATATTCATCACATGTGGCTCTAGAGAAAAAATATTTAAAAAAAACCCAAACATTATCCTTACTTTTTCAAATCAGACGTTGCTTAAATCATAGCAATAAATGTTCCAAAAGATGTAAATACTAAACAGTTTTGTACTTTTTAGTGAATAGAAGAAATAAATGGTAACACGATCTCTATTATAGTATTTATATGAAATGGTATACAGATATATGATAAAGAGGATGTATAAAACTGAACGACACCGCCTATTTATTAGCATAATATACACTTTTCGATGTCATTTAAACAATTCTATCTACTAACAGAATACAACAGAAAGAAAAATCTTTAGACACATATTACAAAACATTCAATTTTTAATAACAAAATAATACATATTAGATACAATGTTACATGTAATAACAGGTACAAGGTTGTCATTGATATTTTTTTTTAAAATCGATTCACTTATCTAGATCTTAGAAGGCAGAATAGTATGGTTCTTATAAAATAATGAAAAGGTGTCACTCTAGACTACTTGACATTCGATAAATATCAATGGACATAAGATGTACTCTTTGACGATTTGATAAGTTGTTTTTAATCCATTAACCTTTAAAATTAACTAACACTGACAACACAAATCAATTGACCATTTCTTTTGGTTTAAGAAATAATTATAGCTACTTATCATTAACCTTTTAAAAGCATAATTCGCAGGCTCATTCAATTCGACTCTCACGTTTGATATGTAGGCTATTCAGCTGAATAAACTTTTAAAATAATAAATGTCATATATATGAGAACAATACCAAACACTTATAATTTTCGTTTTATAATGTAAAATATATAGGTTTTCAAACACAGCAAATTTGAAAAGTTTGTATTTTTCTGGTTCCCATTAACATTACTTCCAATGTTTTAAGGATTGGAATAAATAATATGACTTTGGTTGAGGCATGATCGAACGTTGCAAGGTTTTTTTCTTTAACAAAGAGTTTCAAACAAATGTTTTTATTTTCCCTTCTATTCAAATGTTTATATTTGAAATCGATGGTCAGTTGAAAGACACACTCACAAAGGAGCCGCGTCACGACAAAACCAACATAATTGGGTTTGCGACCAGCATGGATCCAGACCAGCCTGCGCATCCGCGCAGTCTGATCAGGATCCATACTGTTCGCTTACAAAAGTCTATAACAAGTAGAGAAACTGTTAGCGAACAGCATGGATCCTGATCAGACTGCGCGGATACGCAGGCTGGTCTGGATCCATGCTGGTCGCATATCCATTGTTGGTTTTGTCGTGACGCGGTTAACTTCACGGTCATGCCGTTCGGGTTGAAGATCGTATAATACTATGACTGATAAAAAGGGAGTGAGAGATGTTGCACTTTTCATACAAAACCTCAACAAAAACTTGCAACTTGCAATATTCATGTAATTTTGTTGTGATTAATGCTTCCGAGCGATCAATTTGTTTTCAGAATTTTCATTTAATTATTTTGGTTTTCATTGTTATCGATCAATAGAATCTTTATTCTACATAATTGATTAAGCTTGTTCTTGTACGACAGAAATATTTCACCATGCAGGTCTTTCAACTTCAGGCTCAGCAGAATTAAGCACACTTATAAATAACAAACTAAAATTATTTTAGTTCACAATGTATCAATAAAATAGAATGAAATCTAAAATATTTGCTGTAATGCCTGCAGTTTAAATTGCACGTGTAAATTATCTTTCTTAAGATAAAAAGCACACGTGTAACATATGATATTATTAAAACATTACACTTCTCTTGATAAAATTGATTAAAAAAATCCTTATCCAATATACATGTATCCTCTTAAGGTAATGTAATTAAGTAAAAATTAAAAAGAACAACCAATAAACAATCGTAGGGAATTATGCTTGCCAACCTTTTGCATCATTAACCAAAGTCGGGTAAGGGAAAAGGTACAAACAAACACACGCACAAAAATCTGCTGCCTAATTAAAACGACAATTTCAGAGCGGGCGTATTCTGCTATGACTTCGTAATGTTTTTTTCTGGGTATGTGAAAAACTGCAAAAATGAAAAGAACACTGATTAGATTGACACTGAATCTATAATAAACATTTTGTAAATGTAAGATACGAGTCTTACCACAATGCATAGATTTGTTATCTAAACACAGTTTAAATTTTTAATTATTTCTATTCACTGCAACTAACTTCTGAAATTGAATTTTAAAACATTTTACAAAATTATAAACATTAAATATTTAAGGAGGCAATTTTGTATATTTTTTGTTTATTTTTCGGTTTTAGGACATGACACATAAAACTATGTTAGTAAGCCTGCTAGCGGCAACTGAATTTATCCGTGCCGTGTGAATATGATCGGCACTTTTTGTTATTCAGTTAGTACATATTTTGTAAATTTTGTAAGGATGATTGATGGTTTTAACCGCACTAAAGGATGGCCAAATCTGTGTAAGATATTAAGAAAGGTAAGGGTAAAAGTTCAATAAATTTAATATATATTTCATATATATTTTTTTTGCTATTGCGCCTCTGTGGGTTCGAGTCCCGTCGAGTTGATTGCTCGGAGACACAGAGTAGATTGAATGTCACATATACAGTGAAATAATAACGTTATACAAAACTTGTTATGTCATGAATAAATTAGACAAATTAATCATTTCATTGTAAATTTTAACTAAATTGTATCCTTTTGTACATGTTTCAATGGTATAATTAGAGATTGAATTTGTCCACTCATGAAAAAATCACAAAATAGCTGTTATACCTACAGCTATGTTTTGTATCATGTAGCAGATTTTCGTAATTCGTCTGAGGAAAGGACATAAAATGAAAAACAAAACAATACAAGAAAAGCATTGATGCAAAGCATCAAAGGGCGTCCATCAAGAAATGCAGAAAGTGAAGATGAACTAGTAGACATATGATGACAAGATATTCTTATAAACTTTTCAATGATTAATTGGATTTTACCAGAATGAACGGACGAAAGACATTGTTCATTATGAACTTTGAATGGCATGCTAGAGATTAGAATAATACTTGTTATTATTTTTTATGATCGTGATTATTAATAGCAACGGATAAACATGTATACAATCATTTATAATCCATATGTGTAACGCATGGTCAACACCACACTTGTGGAATTGTCTCTTATGTTATCGCTATTAGCGAAGACCTCCTCTTAAGGTATCTGTTCACACTTAGTAAAAATATGACACTGGTTTTATTATCATGTTGATCATGTTGAGCATAATTGTTTATTATACAATAATTGTAATATCTATTTTAATATAAAAAATACAGATTTTATGAATATTGTTTTCCTCTCTTTTTTCGTGTTTATGTGCTATTTTAATACTGAGTTTGCACGTTTACTACTCTTTTTTTTATTAAAATTGTAAAATAAATTTTAAGAATTCAATTGTCATATTGACCGACGATTATAGGTCAAAACTTAACTGGAAAAAGTCAGTAAATTATGCTTAATCTTTCAATATTTAATATTGCTTATTCTTAAACCATGTACATGTACATTTGTATTTTTCTTTATCATTTTTTTAAATTATCAATCAATTGAATAATTCATAAAATCTAATTTGTAACTTTGAATAATTGCTGGGCATCTTTACAAAGCACGAATGACAAAATAAATCAAATGTTTCAAAGTTGATAGTGTCATATTTATACCATAAAAATGTACCTTTTTCTCAATTATTGTACATATTTATTGTTTTTATCTCATATAGATAAAATGAAACATGCTATTGTTGTTGTTGTTGTTTTTTTTTTCGAATTGTATGTATATGTATAATAATAATCAATAAATTTGAGAGTTGATCTATGTTTATTTATAAATTATTGTAACCAAACTAAGTGACAAACATTCATTTTGGAAAAAAAGCTTATTTCTCTGTAAAATATCTGTTCTGTTCTGTAACGATATCAAACATCTACTCCAAAACCGGGAGAGACCGGACAATAAACGTGTGACGGTCACTAGTAAATCCCGGTCAAAATAGACCGGGAGATACCGGGAATTACCGATAGCAGTACATCCCTCTATAAATAGATTTTCGGAATGTTAAGGTCATCAACTCATCATTCTATTTTAACATACCATAATAACCCACTGTGTACTACAAAATGATAAATAAAAAAACCCCGAAGAGACGGAAAAGGTTATTTCATGCATTGCGAAATTCTGCAGTTCGCTATTCATTGTACATATCGAGACATTTTTTTTAATCAAGCACCCTCATACCGATCGGAATGATCGGCTTTTATTATGACCGACTATAAGGCTCGAGAAGTTGCTGTCGCCCTTTCACAAAATCTGATTTCATTCCATAAGGGCGCCGCGCTTCGGCGCGGACGCCAAAAATGTGTGAACAACAACAACAACGAACGCACAAACAACAACATGTAAACAAAAAGAAAAGGCAGTAAAAACAAAATTTTGAAGGGTTAATATCTACAGCCAAACGTACAGAAAATAACCATCCACCCCAAAAAATCACAATGATAATATACAGAGCACAATTCTTCATCAAAGCCACAAGATATACAAAATATACAATATTAAGTTGAACTAATGCCTTAGTTATTTAACATTAAACAGACTACGATTTTTGAATAGTTTAATATATCAATCTAACAGCAAAATCAAACAAGCTAGTATTGTAATTAAGGTATATTTAGCGTTTGATAATAGAGGTATGCATAGTATCGAAATTCTTGAGAGCTGTGAAAATATCTGATTTTATTTAAGTACTAGACTAAAACTATCGTCCAGTCAATCAAGCAGAAAGTAGATATTAAACAAATTTATAATTGCTAATGATTTTGGAGGGAAGATTAACGGTGAGTTACTGTAGAATAATGCTGCTTGATAAATTGACTGGTTAATTTTTCGAATTATTTTGACATGCAAATCAGTTCTGTTTGAATTGATAACTAAAATGATTCATATAATTTAAAAACATAACTAATATTATACATATATAATATTTCAATAAAGATGGCGCCAGACACAACACAAACAATTTTAGATGTTCGGTTAAATTAGATCACCAAACTGGCCGATACTGTGTCTTATGATCAGTAAATGTTCCATAACCACCACCGTATGAACATATCTACGATGTTTCTAAATTTCAAATTTCAATATTGTAATGAATAAATGTAAATGTTAATGTTAATGTTAATTAATGCTTAAGTCGGTACTAGGGGGTGAAAACGATAGCCTGCAATTACCATTACAGTCCACGAACAAGCTCAATTGAACCATTACTGCAATGTTTTAATTTTTGGGACTCTTTTTTCTTTTTTGTATGTTTACTTTGTATAAAGGTAATTATGCACAAAGGAGGCGTGAAGTATTTTCCATAATCACCCATGAACAGATTCGATCAAAACCAGTCTGCAATTTTTAAGCAATTGTCGTTGTTGATGGTTCAGAGGGATCACCCTTTTACCATATTTTTTGTTTAAATTACATACTCAACAGAACATTTTCAAACAGTTACCAAATATGAAAAACAAGATCAACAAGGAAGGATGGAATTCAATGAACGCATCCTTCTACACGACCCAGCAACACGGGACTACTTAGTAGTTATAATGGACAAATCAATTAAATAAAATACAAATAAACAAAAGCGTGCAATCAATTGTAATCAATTATTATTGTTAAGAATTGTTGAAATCATAATTCTGTTTATTTTCCTACTTATATATATTAAGCTTATTGGCAAAAAAAAAACTTGTAAGAAGATTTAAAAGTTTAAAAAAAAAAACAAATTATCTAGAAATGTATGAAGATTTTTGTAAAATTATCAAACACTAGATATATAAATATAATAAGAATATAAAGCTTTTAAAGCAATATCAAAACAGAGAAAATTTCAAGTTATTTGCAAAAAAATAATATATATATATACTTGTGTTAAATAACAAAAGCCAGTTTGCCAGGTGGTGCTTTAGGGAAATAGGGTGAACAAAAAAATATGACAAGTTCAATAACTAATCATTTTCATATTTATTTTTTAAGTAAATGTCAGATTAGTTTACTAGGATGTTTGCTTTACTGCTTTCAATATGCTGTGCACGTGCAAGTTATCTTCTGAAACGTTAAACACACGTGCTTAACACGATACAAGTAGATAGAAAAATATGTGAATTTACATGTAGTTATCAGATTTGCTTTATGTCTTACGTTACTGCATTTTTATTTTTAAGCGTTTTATTCCTTACATTTGTTAAGTCTTTAGGTGCCTCCCCCCAGAGTAAACAACTATAATTGGTGTTGATTTTGTCTCATTTAATGTGTGATAGATTCATGACGCTTAAAGTTGGGATTAACTACATATTGTTTGTATATATATATTACTTATTTGTTTACATTCTCAATGGTGCAAACTCTAAACTGTCACCATTCTTTTTTTAACTGTCAGGCGCGTAGCTGCCTATACGCGAGTACGCAGCTGAATCCACATTATTTTGACAAAAAAAATTTTTTTTTAGTAAAAAAAATGTGGTTTGAAATTCAGCCGCGTTCGCCAGATCTGATAATTACCACACTGAATACTTTATAAATCATATAGCCTAAATCGTACACCATACCGTAGTATTTTTTTGAAAAGTTGTCGGCCTTTGCAGCTCTTCAAAGTCGGAAGTTTGCACGCGCCGTATTTTCGAAATGTAAACAAATGTTTACATCGAGTTCTTAAAGAAGTCATCAGCAGAATCAGCGATAGAAAAGAGGTAATTATAACTAAAATGTTACTATGTATGCCTAGTGTTTATTTGTTTCGGTCTGTTTGTTGAGTAATGACATGTTTGACCATGTCTGTGAACCGATTCTAGCGAGACTGACAACATTTTGAACTAACCAACCTGAATCAGTGAATTCATGATGCAAATGTGAAAAATTCTGGTGCATTTGTCGTATTACTCTGCATTTTTGAAATAGTTCCTTCTTGGTAGATTAGTTATATTGATACATGGAATTTTTATGAAAAAAACATTTCTGGTAAACACAACGCTCGTCATTTTTTCATATACGGAAGCGCATAAAGGTCAAAAGTATTCCGATTTCATACATGTACGGAGCCACAATTTATTCTTCCAGGTTCTAATTACGCAAGAAATATGACACAGAAGAGAATTGACAGCTTCTTCAGCGTAGGTCCAAAAACTGGGCTGTCTGAAAAAGGCACCGATGCAACCGAGCCTAGTACATGTATGTTTACTTTAACATGCTTTTAACATAAAAAGCTACAAACAATAGTCAGTACATGTTAAGTTATACATGTATAGTTAATGATGACAACAATTGTAACTTTTAATTTTGTTTAAACTTTTCAAGATTCAAGGACAGTATGATTTCAAACTTTTACATTACATTCATTGCAATCCATGCTTTAAATATTCGAAATCAAATTGATTCTATAGTCAATTTTATGCACCAAAAATTCTAACACTTGTCCAAGTATCGTCATATGTATTCCATATGTATATTTATAGCGCCCGGTACGTCTGGTGTGAAGGAAGGTCCTGAACCTATGACTTTAGATAAAGATGAGCTCGTGGGGATTGCGTACAGTCCCGATGACTTGTATCCTGATCCAGCAAGTTTAACAAAGGCTTCAGATGACTCGATAAAAGTGAAAGTGCTGCAAAACAACAAAGAATGGGCCAAAACTTTTAAGTTTCCGTCAAGGTAAACTGATTCTGATTCATTTGATTTAAAGATGTGAAGTTATAACGGTTGCAGATCAAAAGAAAATTGTAGTTTTGTCAGAAAAATACCGTTAAAATCTCTAAACACAGTCCCGAGGTCTCAAAATCGATGGTTTATGTTGAGGTCTTTTTGTGAGTGGTACATGTGGGAAAATAGACGCAAGCCCGTCTCTTACCACTCGATTGTAAACCCATATTAATATACTGCTTCTTCCACTTGTTCGATGTTTGGTTCCATTATAATTATATTAACGCGCTTTGACATGTTTACTATATAATTAAGACGAATAAAGTATAGTGAATATACTCATATATCTGATAACGTTATTGAAGTACCAGTATCATAAGTATACTAGTAAGATACTAGATATATACTATTAAAATGGAATCATTTGCTTCCCTGCTTTCCGGATTTCTACGTATTTGGTTGCAAAATTGTTCTATTTCAAGTTCGTACACTATTTCTTTATTTTATTATTTCAGTATTGAGTATGGAATGAAGCGTCAGTTCTCCGTAGATTGGCTAGAGAAGTATGACTGGCTTCGATATTCAGTTTCCGAGAATTCAGTGTATTGTGCTCCCTGTATTTTGTTTGGTGCTTCATCTCCAAAGGAGAAAACATTCATCAATACCCCAGTATCAAAATGGTCTAACCTTGGAAAGTACATCAAGAGACATACCGAGCCTGGTTCGAGTCATCATAGCTGCTGCGCTAGTGCTAGTAGTTTTATGAAAATCATCGAAGGGAAACAAGCAAGCATTACAGCACAACTGTCGAGAAACAAAGTCGAAACTGTTGCTAAAAATAGACAGGTGCTTAGATCTGTTATAGAGGTCATCATTCTGTGCGGTCGACAAAATATTCCACTTAGAGGTCATGATGACAACAATAGTAACTTTACTGTCCTGTTGAAAGACAAGGCCAACAGGGATGAAATCCTGAAAACACACCTGTCCTCTAAATCTAAGGTTACTTACACTTCGCCTATGATCCAAAATGAATTAATCACTTTGTTGGGAAATAACATAAAAGGCAAGATAGTTCAGCAGTGCAACGATGCTATTTGTTATTCATTTCTTGCAGATGAAGCTACTGACGCGAGCACTATGGAACAAATTGCTATGTGTGTAAGATATTATTCTGAAACTGAACAGGACGTGCGTGAAGACTTTGTGGGCTTTGTGCAAGCAGAATCTACAACAGGAGAGGCTCTTTTTAACAAGTTTATTGAGGGGCAGCGGGACGCAGGATTAGACATCTCCAAGATGAGGGGACAAGGGTATGATGGGGCCAGTATTATGTCTGGTTGTCATCGAGGTGTGCAAGCTCGGGTCCAGCAAGTAGTTCTCCAAGCAATGTATGTGCACTGCAAAGCCCATAGCCTTAATTTGTCAATTGTGCATGCCTGTAAAGAGGCACTCGTCAGAAACTTGTTGGACACAGTACAACAAATCGGATTTGCTTTCCAGTACTCTGCCAAACGTCTTTTAGCTTTCAAAGAGGAGCTTGGCAACGATCCCGTGGCACAGGAAGAGATGCAGAAGAGAACACGTCTTCAAAGTCTGTGTGAGACGCGATGGGCTAGTCGGGCTGACGCACTTTACACTTTCAAAGCTGCATACACATCTATTGTAAGTGCACTGGAGGTGCTAGAACGAGAGGGAGACTCAAAAGCACGGAGCTACAGATGCAGTATCCTTGGGTTCGACTTCCTTCATCATCTCTCTAGTTGTGGTTGAATTCGTCCTCCAGGGTGTTATGCCTCTAAACAAGCTGCTACAGAAGCAGAATATCGACTTGATCGAAGCAGCCAAGGAGAGTCGAGTTCTTATAGCTACATTTCGTGCAGAGAGAGCCGATGATGCTGTGTGGGATGGGCTTTACGACAAAGCAGTTGCCATGGCAGAAGACCAAGGAGTAGAGCCTTCAAAGCCTAGAACAGCTCGACGCCAACAGCACCGTGGCAACGTGCCTGCCGACTCTGTTTCGGAATACTGGAAAAGAGCATTGTTCTATCCATTTCTTGATCATCTAGTTGTGGAACTAGAAGACCGTCTTGTATCCAGCAATGAGAGGTTTAAGGCTCAATATCTCATCCCAAGCCTTCTTCCTGAGCTCAGCCGAGATCACGAGGATTCCATCTTCCAGGAGTATGAGAGTGACCTCAGTGGGGATCGGGAAGCCTTCCGAAATGAGGTTTCTCGATGGAAAGTAAGATGGGAGCTGGAGGGGACAAAACCCTCAAATCTTACTGACACATTGAAGGCTACGAACAAGACTCTGTATCCAGACATCTTCACCTGTCTAGTTGTACTAATTACGATGCCAGTGTTTACCGCTACCGCCGAGAGGCAGTTTAGTATCATGAGACGCCTGAAAAACTACATGAGATCAACGATGCTCACAGAACGGATGTCTGGACTAGCCCTGTTGCACGCCTACAGACACATGGAAATAGATATTGATACTATCATTAACGAGTTTGCGGCCAGCAAAGGCCGCAAGTTAGACTTGCTGTGAAATGTAGACTAGTTGAAATAAACGAAAGTAAAGCTATTCATCTCCATTTTTATCCTAAAATAAATGGATTTTCGTTGGTCAAGAAAGCTCTCCGGAGGCCCCAAAACGCACCAAATTGCACCATTTATTTCAAAATTTTCAGGGGGGGCATGCCCCCTGACCCCCTAGATTATTTTGAATCCACATTCTTTATAGGCTAGCTACGCGCCTGACTGTTGGATGAGAAAAATGATAGTTACTTGAAATACAAAAGAAAGTGTGAGCAACGTCTTAGAACATGTTATACATACACAACGTTTTACTTTTTACCTTTGAAAGTTCTAAGAATTTTTCTGTTTTAAAATGTTATTTTACGTCAAAAATTTTAAAACTACAGTCGGTACAGATAGGTAGATTGCATGAGATTTGAGTTTCTATCAATTGCATTATCGGTTCTGTGGATGTTCCTCAAGTGGAAGCCAATTTCTTTCTGGAATCAGCCAGGGTTAATAGGCGTGAACAGAAGCATCCATTTCCATTGCTGTTCCTGAACTTTTTAAATAGAAAGTTTTTTGAGATTGATATATTTTAAATAGGTCATGATGTTTGGCCATTGTTGAAGATAATGACGTTATTTATATCAATCCAGAATTTATCGCCAGGTGGATGTGACTGGGTAATTTCAGGTTATATAGGTAGAAATTTCACGAGGCTGACACAATCAAAACGATAGTTAAAGACTTCAGATAAATATTCATAGGTACTTAAGTTAATCAGTTGGTTATAATTAATCGTATGTTTTTTGCTTAAAACCCCGCATTTTGGGAACAAAAAGAAAATTTAAAAAAATTTATTTTTTCAAAAACCCTTTAAACTATGCTTGCTGGAAACATATAATTAGTTATCGGACAGAAAAACAGGCATGATTATTGAGCATATTTTGAGAACAGGGCATGATTATTGAGCAGTTTCTGTGAACAGGGCATGATAATTGAGCATATTCTGTGAAAAGGGCATGATTATTGAGCATATTCTGTAAATAATGCATGATTATTTAGCATATTCTGTGAAAAGGGCATGATTATTTAGCATATTCTGTGAAAAGGGCATGATTATTGAGCATATTCTGTGAAAAGGGCATGATTATTGAGAATATTCTGTGAAAAGGGCATGAGTATTGAGCATATTCTGTGAAAAGGGGGCATGATTATTGAGCATATTCTGTGAAAAGGGCATGATTATTGAGAATATTCTGTGAAAAGGGCATGAGTATTGAGCATATTCTGTGAAAAGGGGACATGATTATTGAGCATATTCTGTGAAAAGGGCATGATTATTTAGCATATTCTGTGAAAAGAGCATGATTATTTAGCATATTTTGTAAACAAGGCATGATTATTTAGCATATTTTGTGAACAATGCATGATTATTAAGCATATTCTGTGAACAAGGCATGATTATTGAGCATATTCTGTGAACAAGGCATGATTATTGAGTATATTTTATGAAAATGGCATGATTATTGAGCATATTCTGTAAAAAGGGGCATGATTATTGAGCATATTCTGTGAAAGGGCATGATTATTTAGCATATTCTGTGAAAAGAGCATGATTATTTAGCATATTTTGTAAACAAGGCATGATTATTTAGCATATTCTGTGAACAAGGCATGATTATTAAGCATATTCTGTGAACAAGGCATGATTATTGAGCATATTCTGTGAACAAGGCATGATTATTGAGCATATTCTGTGAAAAGGGCATAATTATTGAGCATATTCTGTAAAAAGAGCATGATTATTGAGCATAGTCTGTGATAAGGGCATAATTATTGAGCATATTCTTTGAAAAGGGCATGATTATTGAGCATATTTTGTGAATAATAAGTTAAAATGAATAGTAGCATCGCATATGTCAGAGATAGCTAAAATAAATTTTAAAATTTACATTAATCACATGTTGTGTAGAATGTGCTGATTCAAATAAATGAATGTAAAGCCATCAGTATAAATTTATGAAGTACAAACAGTAATGACGCTGAGATAATGAAAAAAATAAGACCTTTAATCCGTATATAATATCAGTTAAATATTTATGAGAGTTTGTCTGCTTGAACTTTGTTGTTTATTTCTCACACTATCTAATACACATAACTAACATTACACACATACAGGTTTTCAATAAATTATTCTAAATCAGTGATTTTAAAAATCTGGAAACAGAGTGATCCCTTGGAAGCATAAATCACAAAAAGAATACATGAAAATTGCAGACTCGGTTTGATTGAGTCTGTACATGAGGGATAATGAAGAAGTGCAACATCTCTCACGCCCCCCTAGCACCGGCTTAAGCGGTACTCAATTCTCAACACTTAATAGTGCTGGCATCAATGATCCCGAAGGAACTGAAAAATATAACAACACTGATGTGAAGTACGGGGGAATATTTTACAGCTGCCACACATCACTTGACACCTGCTAAGCCACTATTTATTAAGTCTTACCATTTTTATTTGCACTTCAATGCACTTTAAATTTCGAAATATTTGTTTTCTTGCATGATGATTTCTGAATAAATAAATATTATAGTTTTTTACAAACAGTTTTGATATACAGATGTTATCAATATAGAAATTATTCAACCACAAAGTATGCCATAACCACACAATGACTTAATTGAAATTAATATATTTATTATAAGCGATGAATCAAAATCTTTAAAATAGCGGTATAAACCAGAATCCTGTTTCTGACAAAGAAAATGAAAATAAAAATAAAATCACACTTGACTAACTATCGTTTCGATATGTGAGTTTTAGCACAGGTAGTGTATTTCACAGCTAAAGAGAGAATGCAAAACCTAAACATATAATCAACATGAATAAAAATTGATCTGCTTGCTAAATAAATCTGTCCATTAGCAAATAAAGTTGATTCTAATATGATAAATATTAAGCAAGAAAGACAGAATATGTTCGATCGTGATTTGAATCATAAACACATTGTCTAACAGAGGACTGCCTCAAACCTAATAAGAAATATTTATACATATTAATAATATTTGTTTCACTTTCCTCTTGGCTTACTGAGATTGCATCTGTTCAGTAGTAAGACAGATGGAATATATCATTTGTCTAAGCACGCTGTTGCAAGCTTCCCTAGAGAAGCTAAACAGATTAATATCATTATAAAAATGATACTGTAACCAACATTAAATGAACATAATAGAAAACCAAACAATCTGATTTTTGTCTTAAGATCTCGACTATTAATACCATGTTTTGGTGAGTGTAATTGAGAATCGCACTTATTAATCAGTAAGTAAGTCATTTATATATACGTTTATCGTATTTATAATTTCTTGGGAGTACAAGTGCATGCACCGGTGCATATTTGACAAATCTGTGTTGTGAATGAGAATCATGTGATGTAAAATGTTTAGCATTAGTTCAAATTTAATAAGATTTCAATTCTAGTAACATTTATGCTTTAATGACCTGAAATATTTGTTTTTAAACTTCTTTTCCATGTAAATATAAACGTGCCATTTGTTTCCATACCATTAGATAAAATAGTAACACAACCGTTACGGTACTAAAATTCAAATATAATTGTCACTGTGTGAAAAAAGTGTTAAATTTCACTGAATAACTTATTCATTAAATCATTAATTGATTAACTATCTCGTGCACAAATGTGCAATAATATTGTTCTTGAACAATATTTAGCTACTTATATGTGAAATCACGTTTTAAAAATTTTGATTGACGTTGGAATATAAAACAGAACGAGAGTATCTTTCTTTATTGTTAGTGAAGCGTTTTATAGTAATTTCTACCTTACTATTGTAACTTTGTGAAGATCTGCCAATGAAATTGAATTAATAAATTGAATCCATATTGCAATAAATATAACCGATTAATAAATTAATGATAACAAAAAGTTAACTGGACAGGTGTAACATGTTTTCTAGAAAGGATTTTCAAATTTTGTTGTGTATTTCAAAAACTACAATTTTGTGATTTTTGTTTTCTATAAAACACGATAATATTTTTTTCGTGCAATAATACTTTATTTATAAGTTTAATCTCTAACTATTCCATGATTCATAAAATAATGTAATAAAGGCTTATAAAATGCCTATATAGAGGTAGAAATACAAAAGTACTTTATTTAGAGAAACTAAAAAACGTCCATAACCTAAAATATATTGATACAAATAAAACACTCTAAACAGGTC